AGAAGGTCCCCAAGGTCCCTCAGATTCCCTGTCTTGTGACTAAAGGCCCCCCAAGGAGCAGATGTCACATGTCCATGGTGACCAGGAGGTCCCCAAGGTCCCCCGGGTCCCTGTCTTGTGGCCAAAGTGTCTCCTGGGATAGAGTGACACAAGACCAAGGTGCCCAGGAGGTCCCCAAAGTCCCCAGGGTCCCTGCCTCACGGCCAAAGGCCCCCCAAGGGGCAAGCGTCACATGTCCATGGTGACCAGGAGGTCCCCAAGGTCCCTCAGATTCCCTGTCTTGTGACTAAAGGCCCCCCAAGGAGCAGATGTCACACGTCCATGGTGACCAGGAGGTCCCCAAGGTCCCCAGGTTCCCTGTCTTGTGACCAAAGCCCCCCACGGGGCAGGTGTCACATGTCCATGGTGACCAGGAGGTCCCCAAGGCCCCTCAGACTCCCAGTTTTGTGACCAAAGCCCCTCAAGGGGCAGGTGTCACACGTCCATGGTGACCAGGAGGTCCCCAAAGTCCCTCAGACTCCCTGTCTTATGGCCACAGGCCCCGCAAGGGGCAGGTGTCACACGTCCATGGTGACCAGGAGGTCCCCAAGGCCCCTCAGACTCCCAGTTTTGTGACCAAAGCCCCTCAAGGGGCAGGTGTCACACGTCCATGGTGACCAGGAGGTCCCCAAAGTCCCTCAGACTCCCTGTCTTATGGCCACAGGCCCCGCAAGGGGCAGGTGTCACACGTCCATGGTGACCAGGAGGTCCCCAAGGTCCCTCAGACTCCCTGTCTTATGGCCACAGGCCCCGCAAGGGGCAGGTGTCACACATCCATGGTGACCAGGAGGTCCCCAAGGTGCCTTAGATTCCATCTCATGGCCAAAGGCACCCCAAGGGGCAGGTGTCATACATCCATGGTGACCAGGAGGTCCCCGAGGTCCCCAGGGTCCCCGTCCCACAGCCAAAGGCCCCCCAGGGCCCCCAGCCTCCCGAGGCGTCACAAGGCCAAGGTGGCCAGGAGCTCCTTGGCCTCCCTGAGCGTC